AGGGTTTAGGGTTTAAGGTTTAGCGATTAGGTAACTGCCCCAGCCCCACTTCCAGCCCCGGCCAGCCCAGGTCCAGAGCCCAGCGCAGCCCCCCACCGGCAAAGGGTTCTCAAAATCAAGTTCCAAAAGACAAAACTCGGTCAAGACCTGGGCTTAGTGTTGTGCCGCCTTCGTCACGGGATCTACGGGAAACATACTGCTTTCTCAGACGTGTTACTGGACGAAGACATCCACGGCGCTCATTTTTAGGCAGGGCTTCAACAAGCTCTGTAGGGCCTTGGTTCCGGACTTATAAGGAACTTAACAGTTTGGGTTGCAAGGTAGCGCTTCGATTTCGGACAGGGGTCGCAAGTTTCGGCCGTAGGACTTGGTGTAGGGTTTAGTGGTTCATGGTTTCCTTGTAGCTAACAGTTTAGGGCTTAGGATTTAGGGTTTTGGCCCAATGCCGTGAACCAAGCACTGTTGAACCGGAGAAAAGCCCGGAACCCTAAGCCCAGATTCAGCTTGCCTGCGCCTTCCACTTTTGCATGACATCGCCACCGAAATTCCTTCGGCGGGTCCGGAAATGTACCCCCTGAACCCTAAACCCTAAACCCGACCCTATAAGACTGGGAAACCGACTCCTGCATACCTTTGAATTAAACCCTCTAAACGACGAGGACCCCGGGTTAGAGTTTATGTTTCGCGGCAGCCCCAAAAAACCCTAAACCCAATGCCCTAAACCCAAACCCCTTATGGGTTCCCTTGACTTTGGGGATATAGGCCCTCTCAATACGGTTTTTAAGAGAGCCATAAGTAGGGTTATGAAGGGTCCCTTTTGAGGGGTCTCTCTGATACTAACCCTAACCCCTAAACCCTAAACCCTAAACTCCAAACCCTAAACCCTAAACACTAAATCCTAAGCCCTAAACCCTAAACCCTGAACCCTAAACCCTAAACCGTGAACCTAAACCCCAAACCCTAAACCGTACTACCTAGGACTGAACACTAGAGTCGCTTCTGACATCTTCTGACCAAACCGACGGCACGGTTTCGGGTTCAGGGCTTGGGATTTAGGGTTTAGGGTTTAGGGCTTGGAATTTAGAGTTTAGGGTTTGGGGTTTGGGATTTAGAGTTTAGGGTTTATGGTTGAGGGCTTGGGATTTAGGGCTTAGGGTTTAGGGCTTGGGATTTAGGGTTTAGTTTATTTAGGGTTTGGGGTATGGCCAAAGCGATGGCACCAAACATAAACCCTTGAGCATAAATTTTCTTGCTGGCTTCTAATCTAGGGCTTTAGCCAGTGTACCGCAATGCTTTTCAGAGCACCAGGTTGAGACGCAGACGCAGGCAGCCGGTACTAAGTTTAGGGTTTACGATTTACCTCAAGAACCCCAAACCTACATTTTTGAAGGGTCCCTATAAATCCCATATTAGGGTTTATAATAAGAACCTACAAAAAAGTGGGTTTTGGGTTCTTAAGGTAGGGTTTAGGGTTAGTCGCAGCCTCATGCTCCTGCCATGCCCACCTGATGCAGGCCACTGCCGCAGCTTTCATGCTGCTTCTTCTCCGACATTGCAACCAGATACTTCCGGAAGGTAGCCTTGCACATCGATCAGGTTCAAGGTAGCCTTGTGTGCGGTGCCGCTGTTCGCTGGAGACATCGAGGATGGCTTTGTACTGTCACTCTCCGAACTCACTTTGCTGACAGTCAGCAAGGCTACTTCTCAGCCTGCCCAAGGTCGGAGCTCTCCACTCGCCAATGGCCACTGTTCCAAGAGCACACGTCTCGGGGAGCTTCACAACTAGCTGCTCAGCTGTCCTGACCTCAGGTGATGCAAAGCCACAGGAGAGGCTAGCTTCAGAAGAGGCATGGCTTTTGGCCTGAAGCTCTCTAAACCCTAAACCCTAAACCCTAAACCCTAAACCCTAAACCCTAAACCCTAAACCCCTAAATCCCCGGGCCATAAACCCTAGAGTAAACCGTCTATCCCCGAAACCCTCGACCCTCAACCTCTGGACCCTGCCTTGACCCCCCCGAACAAACTGTTTTTGTAGGGCCCCTATGAAACCCATAAGAGGGTTTAGGGTTTAGGGTTTAGGGTTTAGGGTTTAGGGTTTAGGGTTTAGGGTTTAGGGTTTAGGGTTTAGGGTTTAGGATTGATAATAATAAGAACCCTACAAAAACAGGGGGTTTTGGGTAGCATAAGGTAAACCCTAAGCCACCTACCCCCCGGGACCTCGAGCTCCAAAAAGCCCATGAGACCCTAAACACTTGAGGGCTTAGGGGTTTCCTTACCCCGGTGCCGACACACCGAATCCTCAGGCTTTTGGGATGGTGTTGGGGGTTAGGGTTTAGGGTTTAGGGTTTAGGGTTTAGGGTTTAGGGTTTAGGGTTTAGGAGTTAGGATTCACGGCTTGATGTGAAACGGCTTCGGGACGAGGGTTGAGGACCACAACCCTGAACCGTAGCTCAAAGCCGCTAAACCCGCTAAACCCTACACCCTAAACCACTAACCACTAACCCTAGACCCTAAACCCTAAACCACTAACCACTAAAGCCTGCAACGACCCTAAACCCTAAACCGTAATCTCAAAGCCTTAAACCCTAATCTCAAAGCCCTAAAC